AATAATTGACTAACTGTTTTAAAATATTTCCAAATTTGGCAGAAATGTATGACAACCCAATTTTTGACCAATATTATGTGTTTTCGCAGTGCCCAACCCTCCTCGGAAACCATGGATAACAAAGACTTCTGACACTTCAGTGAAAGTAGAGTGGAATTGGGACAAAGCGGACAATGGTGATAGTCCACTAACCATGTTCAAGGTACAATACAGAGATGTTCATAGTTTAGATGGTTATATCATGGCTAGTGATACCATTACACCTGATACAAGGATGTATGAGGTCACCAATTTACTCCCAGGTAAGTAATTCTGAATATTTCAAAATTGAGGCTCACTCATTGTCATGGCAACTGGTCTAAGTTACTGAGTTATGCTTTGGTAATCATTGTGATTAATTCTCACCATATACACACCCTATTTTATATAGAAAATTGAAGCAGGTGATCTTAGTCTTTAGTAATTGTTTAATATAGCCAGATGTTTTGAGCAATGTCAACAGCTCACTAAGGAACAGCCACCTCAACAGCCCACCAAGGAACAGCCACCTCAACAGCTCACCAAGGAGCAGCCATCTCAACAGCTCACTAAGGAACAGCCATCTCAACAGCTCACTAAGGAACAGCCATCTCAACAGCTCACTAAGGAACAGCCACCTCAACAACTCACTAAGGAGCAGCCATCTCAACAGCTCACTAAGGAGCAGCCATCTCAACAGCTCACAAAGGAACAGACATCTCAACAGCTCACTAAGGAACAGCCATCTCAACAGCTCACTAAGGAACAGCCATCTCAACAGCTCACTAAGGAGCAGCCATCTCAACAGCTCACTAAGGAGCAGCCATCTCAACAGCTCACTAAGGAGCAGCCATCTCAACAGCTCACTAAGGAGCAGCCATCTCAACAGCTCACTAAGGAACAGCCATCTCAACAGCTCACTAAGAAACAGCCATCTCAACAGCTCACTAAGAAACAGCCATCTCAACAGCTCACTAAGAAACAGCCATCTCAACAGCTCACTAAGAAACAGCCATCTCAACAGCTCACTAAGAAACAGCCATCTCAACAGCTCACTAAGAAACAGCCATCTCAACAGCTCACTAAGAAACAGCCATCTCAACAGCTCACTGAGGAACAGCCATCTCAACAGCTCACTGAGGAACAGCCATCTCAACAGCTCACTGAGGAACAGCCATCTCAACAGCTCACTGAGGAACAGCCATCTCAACAGCTCACTGAGGAACAGCCATCTGGTTATATTGAATAATTACAAAGGACTCCCTACTGTCATTTTCCATATATTATATTTAATCGATCCTACAAGTCGTAACTGCCTCAATTTTTAGTCCCTGTTTGAACAAAGTTCATATTGCCACCTTCCTAATACTTTCATTGTACTTGGTATTTACAGATAGTATTTACAGATTCCGTATCATTGCCAGTAACATTTATGGAGACAGCAGACCCAGTGAACTATCACATCGATATTTATTGAAAGCTGACAGATCATCTACAGAACGCTATGTTAGACCACCTGAAGTTGCCCCACATATCATTAATACCAAGGCATTAAACTCCACAGCAATCAGGGTCAAGTGGGAGGTAGGTCAGTTTTATTTCTTCCCATATAAGAATATGTGCTTATATGGCCAGTTCAAGCCCTAGTGAGGTAATGTCTTCTTTATTTGGTATTGCATTGTCCATATAAGGATATGTTTGCTTATATGGCCAGTTCAAGCCCTAGTGAGGTAATGTCTTCTCTTTTTAGCTCCGCTGTCGACTTTGTTGAGCGGAGCTTATCATATGAGTGATTGTCCGTCGTCGTCCGTGTCAATGTTTTACTTTTTCGACTTCTTCTTGAAAACTACAAGCCTGAATGCTTTGATACTTGGTGTATATGTACCTTGGGTAGACCTCTCTCAGATTTGTTCATTTCATGATGATATCTTCAATTCTCTAATTTTGGTGAATATTTTTGTCATTTTTGGTAAAAAGTGATATTTTCGACTTCTTGTTAAAAACCGCAAGTGCAATTGCTTTGATATTACATATATAGGTACTACATGTGGACCTCTCTCAGATTTGTTCATTTTGTAATGATATCTTTAATTCTCTAATTTTGGTGAATATTTTTGTCATTTTTGGTAAAAAGTGATATTTTCGACTTCTTGTTGAAAACCGCAAGTCCAATTGCTTTGATATTACATATA